GTCCATAACTTTCATGTGAGAAGCTGAGTATGAAGTGAAAACTTATCTGTTAAGTGCGGTGATGAGCTACGGTCAGAAGTGCAGCAGGTCAATGCTACATACTATGATGGCCAGCACAAGCACGATGTAACGCATAGGCGTCATCATGGTGTCAAAGGAGGGGTTCCGTCGGACAAAGCCCGAACAACAGAATGGATGATGAGAGGAGGAAAGAGAGTGTAGCTGTTCGAGTTGTTAGCGCTCCATTATTCCACGTCCATGGCAGCCAGGGCCACGTGGGCGCTGCGCGAACGGTCCGCGGCAACAAGATATTCGTCCGGGCACTGCCACCCTTGGCCAAGCAAAATCTCTATTACATTTTCAATTGAACATCGAGGTGCTATCAACAGGTGCATGTTCTCAAACTATGTCATGTAGCACTAACACCAGCATGCTTGAACATCCGTTCATAGTTCCGAATACACGAGGCTCCGGTATAGTCTGGAAAACACATCATGAGAAGCTAACGCCGATCTTTGCTTCCTTGCTCACCAAAACTATCGCGTGGGTCGCAGGCACAGCGGCCTTTTACCCAGTCATCACCGCTGGGACAGTGCTGAAAAGGTTCATGTCGATAACCAATATCTCGGAAGAAGTGGACCTGATCCTTGCGCGCGAACAGAGCAGCTGCTATCGAATGAACAGGTGCATCCCCCCAACGCTATGCAGGGTGTTGATTAGATACTGAAAATACGCTGGATCGATAGCAAAAGTATACCTCGTAATAAAAGCCACCTTTGGACTCTAGAAAGTCAAAAAATCGCTGGTACGCCTCCCCGCGCCAGAAATCCATGTCGGCTATCTCAAAATTACTCCAAACTGACAAAATGAGTTGGTTATACGCTGTGCACAGCAGCATTGTAGAAGTTGGAACCTACAGTGACAAAGGTTGTAGGTATTTCCTCCGTCGTCGGAGAGATATTCCATCGAGTTGTTCGCGGACAGATACTGCGGATTGGCAGATGTGAACTCTGGAGCACAGGTTAAATTTAGAAGCTTCGCCCTAAAGCAAAAATGGACATACCTTTGACGGCGTCCCAGAGCGTTCGTATCGTGGGTTCCCATTCGTGTAGTGAAAGTGTAAACCCTGATAGACACTGATAAGCGGTTGCGCGACGTGCGTAAACTGTATGCCCACCGTATACTTTATCATGCTCTTCCATGTAGACAAATGGGTCGTAGTCGATGTCACAGAAGAACTTCACACCGGGTCTATCGTCCGTATGGATTATTTGCACGCGATTCATGGCGGGTTCACTTACTCTACCCTGTAGCTATGATTAGGATTAGGTGCTGCGGTTGAATATTCAAAAATCACCTCCAATAATAACGATAGGGCTGTAATAATTCATGATGGAAGAAAAACTATCAAGGGGGGTCAGAATATAGGATCGGCGGACTTAATTTGGAACAGCTGCTTACACCTGAGTTGAAGCGGCACATGTTGCGATATCTAGCAACGAAGGCAGAGTCAATGGGAACGGTCGCAATCTCACAAAAAAGATCGGGAGATAACCCACGGTATACTCGCTACAACAGTTGAGAACCTGAGGTTAGGACAAGAACTCCGGACACGCACCAGCATAGATAATGCCCTGAGATAACAAGCGAATTCGCCCCTTCAGCGCGCGGTCTTCGTCGATCCAATCTGGTTGGATCCAGTGTTCGCGTTTGATCACGCCAAACTCGATAGGAGCGTCAGTCATGGCCCTTACACGCCTAAGGTGATCAATATGATTAGAGAATTCCGTGGACGAGCAGCAACCGACTTCTTAAACTGCTTCGTGAACGGCTTGTCGTTCAGTAGCACCCATGGATACTGGTACTTTTTATTGAACCTGTCCTCCATTTGTTGGATACTTGTTAGCACCTTCCCGAGCTCGTCGTTCTTGCATAGAAAAACAAATGTGGCGTTAGCGCGACGCGGGGGTTCGGGTTCTGGCTGAATGAGAGACGCCAGTTCGGTCGTTGTCGGCAGCGTAGCATTGATGTTCGGACGGAAAGGGATGTTGAGTTCGGGAATGTGCTTCATGAGGTCCTGACCTCCATATCTTTGCCAGAGCAGGAAATGTAAGGTGATCTACAGTGTCGTTAGAGTCGTGTGTCGATGTCATCTCCTGTCGCTTACCACGACGACCACAAAAGCGGGCAGATAATAGCGCCTCGAGGTCATGGAAAGTGCGCAGAACAGATTGACTGCGCGTCAGAGGAGCTGGATTATAAATGTAGCAGGTCTCGGGCATGGGAACTCGGCGGTTTCGTCATTTGGTAGCATGGAGCCGAAGGCAGCGCTACCGTAGATGGCTGAATAGTTTCGAGTCTGGGGGTTGCCAGATATTGGTGAGATTCGTCTGCGTTTCTGTCAAGATATGAGAGTCCACGCGTGAGTACTGACCGCATGCAAGCCCGTGGGGCCAGACCAGGGTCGAAGCACCGGTTGTAGCGCCTACGGTTTGACTTTGTTTGGCAAGTTTTTTCTTTTGGTTTTGCTCGGGTTGCCTCGTCTTCGTGCTCGTCATGTCCACCGTTCCAACCAGCACCGTAAAGGATGGCCTCTACGAGTCCCCCACCTCGGTCGTGCCTCCTCCACCTCCACCCCCTAGAGCCCCATCCGGTCCTTTCTCCCCGCTCGTGAATATTTATGACCGCCTTGCACAGTGGAAGCAGAGCCTCGACTTGCCTAGTCCCGGAACAGTGGAGAATCTCCAAAAAGAGGTCAAGAGTGAGTATTTCGACTTTTGAAACCAGTGGCGAATTATGTCCTGAGATGACGCGCTGCAGCAACCCACTTGACCAACTTCGCGTTCGATGGCGCTCGTGCCGACTTGGCCAAAACACTTTCTGGGAATCCACTATTCCAAGTGACCCATTCATTTTCTTTGGGATCACAGACGGCTCCATCATCATACAACTTTGGAGCGATATTTGCCAACCAAAATGTACGTCTTCACACGTTATAACAACTGCCGCATCCTTATTTCTCGTCATAGACCACAATGCAAGGGGGTGTCGACCACGACGGTGGGGTTAATGCACGGTTCAACCAGTCATGGTCCCAGAATAACGTTACCAAGGTCCAGGCACAGGTGAGCACATTCCAAGTGGATATTTACTCGTCCCCTCACCCACTCGCAGTTTTCATCACAAGCTGGTCATAACATGGTTCAATTGGAACAAGACTACCAGGGTCGTGACTTCAGTCTGAATGCCAAGGCAATAAACCCATGGCCAACAGACCTGACTGGTATATACCTCGGAAGCTACTTGCAGTCCGTCACCCAAAACCTTGCGCTTGGATTTGAGACCCTCTGTCAACGACCCTCTCCCGATATCTCCGAATACACCACTTCGTACCTTGCGAAGTGGACGAGTAACGAGAAAAACTGGATTGCAACAGCCCACATGCAACCCGGTGGCATTGTACAAGCGAGTTACTGGCAGAAGCTTGGTGAAAAAGTAGAAGTTGCTGCAGACCTTCATCTCATTGCAACGCCCACGCGACGGGATGCTATCGCTACGCTTGGCGCGAAGTACGATCTGCGCTTGTCGACGTTCAGAGCACAACTGGATTCAACAGGGAAGGTTTCGGCCTTCCTTGAACAACGATTTACGCCCGCGTTCGCCTTCCTCCTGTCTGGTGAAATTGATCACTTCAAGGTATGTCTATATGCTACGCTTTCTGCCTGCAGGTGCTTAATTCCGTTTTAGAATGCCGCGAAAGTTGGTGTCGGTGTGATGATTGAGAGTTCGACCTTGACACCGGAGGAAATGGGACTTCCACCTCAACAGCTCTAATATATTATTTAATACACTAGATCTTATTGACTCCGCATTACTACGTACATTATGCGGATCATATTGGGTATTGGGAGGTTCTTAATTGCCATGGACAGCGTCACACGCTTTAATTTTTCTTCCAACCAATACCACGATGTCACCTCTACTCGAAATACGAAATATCGGATGCTTGAATCCGGATAATCACTACGTGTTCCAGGACATCAACCTTGAAGTCCACTCTGGTTTGTCCGACGATAGGTCCTCGAGAAAATGCTAACATAGATGATAGGAGACATCATTATCCTGCAAGGGAAGAGTGGTTGCGGTAAAACAACGCTGCTCAAATGCATGTCCCACTTAAGGCCATACAAAGGTGATGTTCTCCTTCACGGAAAGTAAGCATCATCATTTAGAAATGCACCGCAAAGGTATTTAACGACCACTCACTAGGACACCGAAGGCATTAGGTGAGATAGTTACCCCATGCTCAACTCCACCTCATCGTCTGATCTAACGTCAAAAAGGCATACCATCCTACCGTACCCATGTGATGTACGTCCCCCAAAGGCCTTCTCTCCTCCCAGGAACTCCTCGTGATTTCCTGCACACTATCATCAACCTACGTGCCCACCAAACCCATCCCAATAAATGCACAGAAGAAGAAATCACCCAACAAACTCTAGATATTGCATCTCAACTTCACGCTGAAGAACTTCTTTGGGATAGAGATTGGTCTAATTTGAGTGGTGGTGAATCTCAACGCATCGCTTTATCGGTCGCGTTGGGGTTGGATACAGCTGAGGTTTTGTTGCTTGACGGTGAGTCTACGTAGAGATTCGTGATATCTTCCTCCCATCGTGGAACTAAACATACGGCTTTGTAGAACCAACATCGGCATTGGACCCCGAGTCAAGCGGTCTTGTTGAAAGGTTAATCACAGAAAGAGTGCGAGGCTCACATGCATCACTCAAAGCTGTCATCTGGATCACCCACTCGGAAGAACAAGGGCAGCGTGTAGGGACAAGGTTCTGTCAATTGACCGCAGGTGAATGTAAGGAGGAGCAGCGTATATGATATTGATAGACTTGGAGCAAGCAGAAGGGCGCCTAACACGTAGATTCAAGCATGATATTATACGACTTTACAGGACTAGATCTGTCGCTACCCGACGGCAGTATTAAGCCCGTGTAGCTCAGTGGTAGAGCATTGTACTTATGTGGTTATCTGACCTCCTTGGATATGCAAGGGTCTCGAGTTCGAATCTCGGCATGGGCATTTTTTGTTTTTTCGGCGTTTCCTTTTGGTCAGGAGCGCGGAGAACAGAAATACAGGCGAATGATCCGTTAATTACGAGTCCGCTAGTTTAAATATATGGTACGTAGACCAAAGTATACAGTCTAATACAGCAGATATTACATCTATGAATTAGGTTACGGGTTCGGGTTCGGAGGCTGGATGATGCTCGAAACCGCGTTGATGATCCTGGCTGTAGCGTCTATCTTCTGCGAAACGTTTGAGTAAACATCTTGACCGTGTTTGTGTTGCATAACTTGAATCTCTGCACGATAATTTTCAAGCAGAGGTTTAACGGCCTCACGTAGCTGGTCGATAATCGGTTCTCGAACAGCCTTAACAAGCTCATCCCGTGTAGGGATTCGCGGTGAAGCAGGTGGCGATATTGGACGCTGCATATATGCGTGGAGCGTCGCCTGTAGCGCTGCGATGGTTTCACGGTCCTGATCGCGGTTTTGCATGTACTGCTGCAGTTTCTGGTCCCACTATGCAGGATATGTATCAAGGCTGATTGAATGAACGAGTGAGGGTAGAACGTAACATACCCCAGCAACGAGACCGCTGAATTCTTGGTTCTCTTTGCGAAGAGCGGCAATCTCTTTATCCGAGGCTTCGGCACGCTTCAGCAAGTCCTCAATTTCCCCAGCTAGATCGTTTACTCCTGTCTCGACTCCATGGGCTTCCCTCTGGACGTCCTTCATCTGTGACGAGATGCCATTGTCTCGCATATTCAATTCTTCCAAACGCTCGCTCAGCAACTCCTCAAACCTCAATTCCAGCTTGTCGTTCACCTCGCCTGCCAGCTCCTCGTCACGAGCATTGATGTCGTTCTCAAAGTTGCTAATGCGAAGTTCGATGTTGGCCAGCTTTTCACGGACTTCTTGTAGGTCGTCTTCAGAGGGACCTGCCACTTTCCCTATATCGACGGAAAGCCGACGACGTTTGGAAGGTCTTGAAGGGTCCGGGGCGTCAACATCCATGGCATCCGGGTCTTTATGATCTAATCCTATTTCACCCAGAAGAGATTCCATTTTGCCTGTTGTACTCGCCATTTCCTGGGTGGCACGAAGGGCCTCTCTAACACGGATTACCAGGTCATCAGCATCATGCGGTGGGATGGTCGCCCAAGATTTCGATGATTGAAGCTGATCAATACATTTCTTCATTTGTTTACCCAGCTCCTCTTGCTTCGCCTGCAAGTCCTTGATTCGGTTCTGGAACTTGGCCTCGTCTATGGGTGAAGGGACGAAATGGGCCCGAGCTCGTTGGTTCAATTGATTTAATTGTTGGATCTCTGCTTCGGTTTTAGTCGCCAGGCTCCTAAGGTCGACGATTTTCGCCAAAAGACTAGTGTTTTGTCAGCACCAAAGGAAGATAGAGGATGGTAAGGGGCATACTCGACCCGTTCCTGCCATGCCGCCGCATTTTGCTCCTGATTCACTTCAATGATTTGTCTGGTAGTAGCCGCGGCAAGAGCAGCAGGCAGCGCTGGTGCAGGAGGGATTGGGGGCAAAGGTCCCGCAGGGGGAGCAGGTGGTGCTGATGGTGGTGGCGGCGGCGGCATTGCACTTGCTGAGGTCGGACGTGGCTTCGGTGTTGGAGGTGGTGCCATAGTGTCGGTCGCGGATAGAGGTGGGTTAGGTGTAACCTGCTTGGGTGAAGCTACGGTGGGTACGGGTGCCTCGTATTGCCTGGTGGAGGGGCGTCGAGGAGGAGAAGGGTCAGGTTTCTTGCGTGAGGCAGGGGGTGGGGCGGTCTCGTCGTAATAGCGCGAATAGTTTTCGTACTTGTTAAAATTGTATTCGCGCGGCCGGCGGGTTGGGCCGAGTTCATCCCAACGCTTGTCGCCGGGGTGGGCGAACCGACAGTCCGTGCCCTTGGGACAGGGCGGATCGAGCGCCTTGCCAGATCTGTCGAAATGCTTGCCAGAAGAGTCAAATAGAATCCAGCCCCAGACCCGGAGTCTCAGGCAGACGTGCCACTCACGAAACAGCGTTTATCGAATTGACCAACCATTTATGTAAAGAAGGAGAAGCAAGAAAGCAGGTCACAGCAGTCACACAATTTCAGTCTACTTGCTACTCAAAGCCTCGTGGTGTCCTATTATATGTCTCGAGAAAAAAGGGGAATGCTTGGATCAGTCGTCCCATACATTGACGACCTCGGCCTCGTGCGTCATAACAGCCACATCGTGGCGGATGGGATGTACTCGTGGGTATACAAACTGGAAAATGATAAGTGGCTGAAAAGGGAAGTTATTCTGGCGAACGTACTACTTGGTTATACTCGTTGAGCACTTCTGCTGCAATGATGTCCTTGTCTTTCAGTAACAGTTTATACGAATGGGTCAGGGCATTGAGCTGATTAAAGGGGTAAGCGAATAAGTCATGGCAAGCCAACGCTATATAAACTCACTTGAGCACCAACCAAGCCCATCACAAGAAGCATGACCACTGAATTTGTGGTATTGGTGGCCATCCACAGAAGCGCGTGGGCAGGTGAATAAATAGCGAACAGGGCCATTTCAAAGTCTCCGGGAGCCCAAACTTGCAGTTGCTGAATGCGGGACGTTCTGCCCGGGGGAATAGTGGAAGACGGGTTGGACATGTTCAAAAGCCAACGCCATGAACGCGAGAACCCGTTCCCAAGGCCGCTTCGTACGCGAGTCATCACTGACGGTGGGCGCAGTGGCTCGAAGTCGAGTTGCTCGGATACGAAACTGGCGTTCGGGGACGCGACTGGATCCGTTTTGTAGTGTAAACGGTACAACTTTATCCGTGTAAAAAGGTAGCCCGCATTAAGGCATGCGGCAATCAATATCAGCAACGAAGTTGGTGTCGTCTAGTCGAATGTGAGCAAGTTACGATCTTCAAGTGAGAATGTGCTCACCCAATCGAACCAGGGCTCATCCTCTCGTTCTCGGTATAGGTCTTCCCAGCCCAGGTCAGCGTCTGGGACTTGACGTAATTGACTGACACGCACGCACAAGTTCAGGAAGTGCATGAGCCCGCCAACGATCCACGCGGACGTCGTGGCAGTCGGCAGTGGCAGATTGTTGGGAAATACCGCGATTTGGAACGCAATCCATGATGGTATAGATGTAATTCTACGAGGGAACGCGTCAATACCAAATATAGAGGAATGTGGCGAAGGGTGCATACTTTTGAATAAGACTCTTCTTTCGAACGACGCCCTTTCTACTGGATGCCACTCCATTGCCATTGGCACTTAGACTTTTACGTGCTTTATTCTGAAGAGGTGTTCCATAAGGTGGAGGACGTCTGGCACGGGCTGCCTCCCAGTCGAAAGGGATAGAAGAAGAGATGGAGGGTGTTGATGCGGGTGAGCGGTAGATGTACGCCTTGTTCCTGGGCGTTGATGGGAGGCCGTTGGACTCTGAGGTGCCATTTGAGCGTGGTGAGCTGGTCGCCGACGCTGTGGCATTGTTCTCCTGTGCCAAACGTCGAAGGGACATTATGGACAATCTTGAGTTTGGAGACGCCCGCGACAACCAAAGCCTGCCGGCGAACGCGAGGTCCGGTTAGGTTAGGGTCTCGAATAGAAACGTGCAGGGTCGGATTTTAATTGGTCAGATTATTTTCATTGTTTGTACGAAAAGGGTAATGCACGTGGTGTCACACGTGTTGGTTGGACAATAAAAATGGGAAAAAAACTGCAAACCCATTGAAGCGTTACCTTTACCCTCAACTTCCATCTTCTTCAGCTTTTTAACGACTATAACTGCGCTACCCTCACCCCCCACCTAAAAATCATCCGCACAAGCTTCTCATCATCACTTCCAACGTCCCTCCACCGTTTTTAACCACGTCTACCTTAAACCCCCGCACCACAACATCCCTGTCGCCTAGTTCATCTATCAGCGGTTAGTATCCTTACTTTTATCCAGCAATACTTGGAGCTCATGTTCTTATAGCTAGGATGGCCCAACCCTCTTCTTCTCATCACAATGAACGCCACCATCGCAGCGACCGCGAGCGGGAACGCGGCGAACGTGAACGTTCATCAGCACACCACCACCACCGAACTATCTCATCGACAACCTTGCTTCTGGTCCTATCTCTTGTTCTTGCTGTCCTAGCTGTTATGCTATCTTTACCCTCGAGTAGCTCTCCATCAGGAGAAGCATCGAGTGGTGTGATGGGTTATCTCACCCCAAAGAGGACACAGGCCCTCATTGCTCGGGAGAGCGCTGTCGCCGTTCGCGAAGCCGAGGTTGCACGTCGCGAAGCTGAGCTTTTGGCCGGCGCCCCTGGTGGTGTCATCCCCTCCCCAACTCCCATCCTTTGCCCTCCTTGTGCTGCATACACCCAGGTCGAGACCATTGCTGGACCCATTCAAACTATTATCAAGGAGGTCGTCAAAGAAGACTCTCTTGTTCCTCCTGGATGGATCGGAACGCGCTCCGAAGAGCTCCTCGATCGAGAACTTAAGATTGCCGAACGTGAACGAGAAACTTCAAAACGCGAAGAACAAGTCAACCGTCGTGAACATGACGCGTCACGTCGCGAGAACTGGATTATGGAACAACTGATGTAAGCACGAAATAATCGACACCTTCTCGCTTGCTAACTTTGAACAGTGCTCTGGGAAATGAAGTTCCGATAGGAGTCGAAGAGGAGGAGATCGTCTACCAACCACCAGTCGTGAAGGGACGAAAACCCAAGGTACCGCCCTTCCCGCGCCGCTCTGAGCTTTGAGACGAAGGAGGCACCCAACTCGTGTACAGTCCGTATGAATCCCTCCATCAGCCCCCCATCATACCGCTCCTTCGTCCGGGCTTGGGGGACTACGGTGCTTTTATCTTGTCCCCCTCGTCCTTCCTTGTAAACTGTGACCACCGGTGAATAGAAAACACGCTTCACGATCGATCACTCAAATGAACATCGATCAAAACGCGCTCACACGTGATCGCGTTTAACCCGTTTTCGATTTTCCGTTATTCTTTTATGTTTTATCCGGTG